ATAATCCAAGAGCTCCCAAAAGCCTATCTGGATAATGTTTTAAATTAAATTAATGTACCTGTGTTGTCCATTGCTGCCTATACTTGCAAACCTTTTGCAGCTCACAAATGTGAACGCAGCATGTCTGTCAAACTCTGTAAAATAAACATGCTTGTTAAAGTTTTTTTTAGTTTTCACACATCCTATTCTAGGTCTGAGAAAGCAGTCTGAGGCATTTGTAGCAGCTCATTAGGTTTTTCAGAACCAGTGAGACACTGTACACCCTTGTTTTCACCCCTGCATGAGATGAAATAGGTTGTTGGCTAAAAATAACTAATAGGGGAAAAGAGTCACCACAATTCTCCCAATCTAAACAAACAAACAAAAAAAATCCCTTAATCTTAACCATCAAACCTTGTGATTTATCTTAATGGTTTATTCTTCAATTACTTGCCTTGAGGTTTGTTTTTCTTCCTTAGGAGGATAGCAAATCCAGTGCATCTGACAACTTTTTTTATTTATTTCAGTTTTTATTTTACAACTGTTGCTCATCTGTCTTCCATAAACTCCCACAACAGTAAAAATGCTTTAAATTTTTTAAATATGTCAGAATTCACACATACCCACGTAGAAACTTGGAGTATGGTGTGTCATCTAATCATTCTTCTCAGTTTTGCTCCATCTTCCTTAGGACTGTTTCTCTCTTCTTTTACTTTTGAGTGACTATTGATGGGAGAGATAGGAAGATAAATGTATAGATTCTTGACTTGTAGCAGTTGATCTGTGGCTTTCCTGGGCTATTAGCCAATACTGAATTTGTCATAGTTTTCACATAAAAAACACAAAACCCAAACAAATCTTGACAAAATTTGGGACAGTCCAAAATTTTAACAACTTCTTTCTCAGAGCGTTATGAAGTGCTTTTTGACACCTATAGTATATATGAGAAACACATATGAAGAAATATCATAGAATTGTTCAAGTTGAAGGGCATCCAACAGCCAAACTCCACCCCAGCATCTTGCTCACTCCCCTCTTCTGTGGGAGGAAATAGAAAAATGGGTTGAGATAATGACAGTTTAACAGGAAAAGTAGAAGCACAACACTTAAGCAAAGCAAAATAAAAATTTAAAAAAAAAAATGACTAATTTGTGTAGTCAGGCAGGTCTCCAACTGCTTCCTGGGAAGCAGGGTCTCTGCATGCTTTACACTCACTTTGTGAGTGCCATAACCATGATCATTCCCCCTCTTTCCTGCTTCCCCTGAGCTTTTATATCTGAGCATGGCTTCATATGGTATGGTCTGCGTGTGACAGCTGTCCTGCTCGTGTCCTCTCTCAGCCTCTAGCTTACCCTTGGCTGACTGACAGTTCAGCAGTAGGGAGAGCACTGTGTGTCACCAGCACCATTTGAGCCACAAATAAAAACCAGAACACCCTAAGGGCTTCCCTGAAAAAAACGAATTCTGTCTCAGCCAGACCCAATGCCATGCCTTATTCCATACAATTTCTGTGTCATCTGGAATTCATCTGTCTTACTGCCTGCTTGGAATAGGGATGGCTCTGAAGGTATGTGGGCTCCTCTGTGCCTTGTCTGCTTGTTCTGGATTTTTTCAGGAGAATATTCCTCAGTCTTTTTGGGCAACCACTTTTGGGTTTTGATCATCTTTGATGAATGGTTTTTTTTTTCCTTTTATCTAATCTGAATTTCCTTTGCTTCAGTTTACATTCATTCCTCTTATCTTTTTTGCTGTGCTTTTTCCAGCAACTATGGCTCTGTTTTTAAATAGTTGAGTATAGTGCTGTGATCTCCCCTTAGATTTTCCTGTAGAGGTTGAACAGGCACAGTTCTTTCAGCTGCTCCTTGTATAGATCATACTGCAGCCCCAAACCATCTTGTTGGCTTTCCATGTGTACCAGTACGTCATATACCAGGGAGCATAAAATGAAATACAGTACTCAAGGTGTAGGCTGGCAGGTGTGGATTAGAATAATAATAAAAATTTCCCTTTACTTGCTGGTTCTGCTGTAGTGAATGCAGCCTAGTGTGCCCTTAGGATTCAGTTTCTGCAAGGGTGCATTTTTGACTTACATTCAAATTGTCCATCAGACCCCACATCCTCTTGTGCAGAGCTGATTTCTGCTCTTAGGTCTCATGCTGGACTGTTGTGTGGGGCTTTTCTATCACAGTACTGTGCATTGTTTTTTGCTGTTTTTTTCTCAAGGTTTGGCAGCCCATTTCTCAGGTCAGTTGAGATCTCCCTGAAGCACAGCCATTTACCCTGGTGTGTGAGCCCCTCCCCTCAATCACCACTGAACTTGATGAGGTGCATTCATCGCATCATCCATCCATCCATCCATCCATCCATCCATCCATCCATCCATCCATCCATCCATCCCATCATCACCCATTATGAAGGCGTCAAATAGAGAATTATGTAATCATAGAATATTTCAATTTAAAGAGACTTCATAAGGACCATCATGTTCAACTCCCAGCTCCTCACAGGACTGTCTAAAACTAAACCATATGACTGTGACATTTTTATATGCTTCTTGAGCTCTGCCAGGCTTGCTGGCTTGGAGAGCTTGTTCCAGTGACTGATCACCCTCTCAGTGAAGAACCTTTTCCTAATGTCCAGTCTAAAGTTACTCTGATGCTTCTTCATTCCATTTCTTTGTGTCCTGTCACTGCTCACCAGAGAGGAGATGGTTTTAAGGATACTGCTCCTCTTGTGCTCATAGGGTCCACAAATTGAAGAGACTGTGGGGGAGTGAGTTGATGGTTGAGGCCTGCAGACTGTAATTTATGCTGCTGCTAGAATGCAGTCTGTTACAAAGCAAATGGTGACTTAAAGTTTCAAATGTCACTTGGGTTTCGTTTGTTGATTTGTTGATTTGTTAATTTGTTTCAATGCTATGGTTAGAATTTCTAAGTTGTCAGTACTTACGCTTTTGGTAGATATTGAATGAAAGGGAAAGGGCTGAGTGATAGCAATGTGGATACTAGTAGGAGGAAAAAGGGGACTGTGAAACCCTGACAACAATGTAACATTTCCCTGGGACAAGGAAATATTTAATATATTTGGATATATTTCTCATTTGTTACCCGAGCATTGGCAAATCTCAGTGTTTAGAATAATTTTGTTGCATTTGTTTTATCCATTTTGTCCACCTTCCACAGAGATAAAAGCATTTCTGCAAAATACCTAGGCTTTACCTGAATAGATTCAAAGTGTACCTGGATAAGATAACCAGAGATAGCACTTGTTTTGCTGATTCCAAGTAGAATAAAACAATATAATAAGATAAGAGAGTTACAATATAATAAGAGATACTTGCAAGATTTCATTTCCTAAATGTTACATTAATTTTGAGCTAATCAATGGCAAAATCAACTAAGCTTTGGGCATCCTCTTTAAGTGCTACTTTTTGTTTTTCATGCTTTTTTTTTCTTTTTGCTTGCCTTTAGATACCAGTACACAGAAAATATTGTTTGAAATTTCTTCAGTTTTTATTAGGCTGTATATAAGTATTTTTCCTTCTGCAAGTTTTGTGTCACTTAAGCTGTACTATTGGATGTATTTAATGACTTAGCTGGTCTTTGAAATAACGAGTATAACAAAAAAAATCAATCAGTAGAGAGGTGGTATTTCTTTATTGGCAGAATTGGTTATTGTATATTTCAACACTTTGTTATTTATAGCTTGTGTTTTTTTCACCTCATTCCCTTTTTGTAATTATGGTTCCTAAAGCAGAGCCTGGTTCTTTCTCTTAGTAGTTCAAAGAGTTTTTCAGTGGATTTTCTCTTCTCTCAGCCTCTTGGAGATTCTTACTGAAGGCATTCCTTACAAGAGAGACATTTTTTTCAGAAGTACCAAAGCTGAGTAAAAGCACAGAGGTGCAGGCACACAGTTTGTGGTGACTGGGAGTGGGGCTGTGGCCCAGCCTCATCCCCAGTGGGTGCAGCTGTGAGCAGCAGGTGAGCAGCACTGACAGCAATGAGCCATGGAGTGCCCAGGGGCACTGACCAACCACCAAAGGGAACAGAGGGCACTCAGGTGCAGTGCATCAACGTGAGGGGTATAAAAGGTTGGGCTAAAGAACAAGGGCAGATGCTTGCAGCCCTCTGAAGTGGAGTGATGTTACGCTGTATGGGCAGAGTCCCGAAGCCTTCAGATGAGGTATGGTGTTACTCTGTATGGGTGAGTGCTTAAAGCCTTCTGAGCTTGCATGGTGCTGCTCTGTGTATTGTGGCTGTCTCAGCTGTGACACAGAGGCAGTTTAAAATTGATGGGTGTTTTCCTAAATCGAGATAGTTTTGATGCTCACTTGACTTTTGTTGCTAATAGCTGAAAATTTTGCAAAGAGTTGGTTAGCGTAAGTGCTATGTAATGGGTGGAATTCAGGAGTAGAATTAATACTGATAGATATTTAATACACTCTACAAGTTTTTTGTAGGAGAAGCTTAACTAAGTGGGAAGTGGTGAAAAGATTTTCAGCTGAAATGTTATCTGTAAATGTCTCAATATTTCATTACTTGCTGTTATGTACCTTCCTGGGAATCTGTTGAATACAGTGTTGCTATTCTTAGTTAACTTGAGGGTATCTTGCACTCTGAGATAAAACACTCATTTTAGTTTCGAGTTACATAGCTGTGATATTTAAGGTTTACTGTCCCTGGGGATATTTTGTTTTCCTCACAAATAGTTTAGAATCTCAACACTAAGCCATGATTGGCCTGATGCGTTCTTTCATTGCTGTCAGGGAGCAAATGGGTGGGAAGAGCACGTGTTGGCTTTTGACATCACCCCGCTTGAGCCAAGCTTGAGGAACAGCTGCTGTTAAAGCTGTAGATTGCTGTGACACTTCATTGAAAGACTGAGAACTTTTTTGCCTCCACCTTATTTTTAAACTAGAAGTGTCTTTCTAAAACTATAAATTATCATGTTGTAGCAATAGCCTTATATATGTGTATATATATGCAATTCATTTTAGATATAATTGGACTTTTGAATGGTCGGTCAGTGACTGCTGTAATCACTCTTTAAATGCTTGGTAAGTGATCAGAAACTTTCATGCCTCCCTTGCACATGCTTCCTAAATTATTGAGTAAATCTCTTTCTGGTCCATCTGTTTGCTAAATGCTGAATCTGAGAATTCAGCAGAAATACATGTAACAAATAATGATACTGTGTATTTTTGTTTATGTATATACAAAATTATACTTAATTGTTGACTCAAAAAAAAAAAAGCAGCTTTTCCAAAATCTTGTAGATTGGATGTAAACTTTGTTTTCTGGAAGCTTGTCACAATCTTTAGTTGTTTCCCTGTATTGCTACTATCTTTTCTTTAGACCCCTAAATTGGGAGGGGAAAAACCACCACAACCTCATGGCGAAGAAAACTTGCAAAGAAGCTTGCCAGATCTAGTTAGTTTTTTTCCTTGTCTTTGTTCTCTACCTATTTCTTTTCTTCCATGCTTTCAGAAGTAAAAACTATTGCACTTTATATTTTTCTTCCCTTCTGTCTTGAATCTCTTCCTTGCAGTCTGTAAAGTGATAGAGTCCAAGCTTGTTTCCTCACTGTGTAATTTCCTTTCTGTAACATTTTATTGGCTTTTCACTGAGGGTATTAGGCTATATTCCACTTTCTTCTGTGTTTGTTCCTCAGAATTGAGTTATTTGCTTTTGTTTATTAGAAGTTATTTGGTGCCTTTAGTTATGAAACATACATCTTTTGTTCAGTAAATGTACCAAATGTTTTTCCAGTGTGGAAATTATTTATTACTTTTTTCTTCAAGCTTAATATATTGTAGGATCTTCGGCAAAGAAAATTATTTCTTGTTTGTTCTTTGTCTGTTGGGAAACATTTCAATGACTCCCTTCACACTTCCTAGCTTTCTGAACACTTGTGCCAAGGCCTGCTGTAATTTTCTGTGAAGAGCACTATTTGAATATAGAGAGTTGTCAAACACATGACTAATCTTTGCTTGCAACATTTCTGTTGTGTCTTGGCATTCAGACAGACTTCTTTTTTGTATGCATCTAACACTGTATATCCAATTCTGCAGTATTGTTAATTTGCAGCAACCTTGGTTTTGGAATAGTTTGGATTTCCTGTCTGTAAAACTCATAACACAGTTGTCTGAGTTGTATTATTTTATTTTCTTTGCCTCTGCCTCCCAGGTAACTGTATCAAGGCACAGTTTCTCAAAATCTTGATGTTGCACTTTGCCTAATGTTGTGAAAAACACACGCAAAACATGTCCCATGTGAGGCGTAAAGTCATGCAAAGCAAAATGAAATAAGTATACCCTGGTATTTACCAGAATGTTTCCACCTGATGTGGGAAAAGGGTAGGGCTTTGAAGGAAGTTAGGTCTTTGGGATTACAGGAGAAACTGAAGGCTGATGTTCATGTCAATGGAAGGTGCCCATTTACCCTCCCAACTGCATGCTCCTGAATTTATTCATATATACTGCTAGAAAATACTGATGTAATACCTGGGTTTCACGTTATTCTGTAATCCATTTGCTTTAATAGAAAACTGAAATGTGCTTTTGCCAGTTGGGAATTCATAGTCCTTTCCCTCAAAAACACCTCTTTAATTTCTTCAGATATGTAGCAGCTCTCCCAGTCCTCTGAAGATGAAGATTCACTGCTGCTTTAGGGGTGACAAGGTATATTTTAGGTGGATTATCTAGAGGCAGGGAATTCTACCAGAGGGGATGGGATTTCTGTCTCCAAGATATATCTAGGGGAAGGTTACTGTTGTTGCTCTGACTAGTAGCATAACATTCATAATGCTTTATGATATAACCAGAAAAAAAAATAGAGTTTAGTTTAGGTGAATTTGGGAATACCTCCTTGAGTAAAGGAAAGTGTGGATACTTTTCTCCCAATTAAAAGTACACTTTGGGGTAATTTTGAATTTGTTTTTAATCACAGATTACCTGTAGGGTGTAGGCTCAAGTAGAAAAGTTTCATAAGCCATGTGTCCCATTATGTTTTGAGCATCCCCAAGGATGGAGACTCCACAACCAGCCTGGATTTTGCTGTATTTCGGTTTCTGTCTGTTGAACTTGTGACTGGGCACCACTTACAAGAGCCTGCCTCTGTCTTCTTTAGTTCCCAGCATCATGTTTGTAGATTAAATCCCCCAGGCCTTCTTTTCACCAGGCTGAACAATAACAGCTCTTTCAGCCTCTCCCAAAATGAGTAGGCTTTAAACCAGTCCTGTCAGGTCTTAAGCTAATTTAGAACAAATTCTACAGTAAGTGACTTAGAGTTACGGAGGAAAGGGAATATGACCCTTAATTTGTGTGATGGGAGGATATGAAGGTGTAGCGCATAAATATAGGCAGGAATTTTGAGAAGGTGCTCTGCTACTGTATGCACTGACTTTGCTACAGTTCAGCCTGGAGTGTGCTTGAGATCTGCAGTACGTAAATAAATTCAAGCAAGAATTTGAGCAAAAGGATTGCACTTTTTGTTAAGTTATGGTTGAAGCTGTGTGAAATGGAAAAAATATAATCTGGTATTTATGGAACTAGTTTATTTACTTCAAAGGAGGAAAAAAGAATTAAAATTGGTCCGTCCAGCTGGTTTTTTTTAAATTGTCTATGTTGTTATTTCAAGCATCCATTTTTTCTTTGTTCTATGAGTGACTTGTATTTTTAATGTTGTAATGTAGTTTCTGCTTAGGTAAAAATCTGCTTTTTGGCTTTGGTTTAAAGTTGCTTAAAATTCTAATCTGGAATGTCCACTTGTAAAGAACATAACAGGCAAACTAGACTGTATCCAATTCCTATCCTTATTGAATGACTTCTTTAGGGTTTCTTTTTGGTTGCAATATTCATGAGGTTTGACCTCTTCATTCAATTCCATAATACTATTGGAAAACTGATCGTTTTTTATCCTCTAAGGCATTCAAACTTCTTGGCAGTGCTAATACTGTGAGAATCAAATGGAAGTCCTCTGCTTTCCTGCACTTAATGGTGTGTTCTAAGCAGACAAAAACCAAAAAAAACTGCATTCTGGGGAAAATAAAGTTTATATTTGACACTATACCATGCTGTATGAAAGTCCCTCTTTTACCCCTATTTCTGTAAAGTTTTTCGGTAAACAGTATATTGATTTTACCTTTTGGGAGCAAAGTGCTTCTGTATGAATGGCTGTAGAGTGCTTCAGCCCTGCTCCATATGAGCATCTCTTCTGAAACACAGTCTGCCATAAAATAATGCGGTTATAGTTGATCCTCTATATACTGTTCAAGGAAAAGATCAAAACCTCTTTAATATTATTTCTTTTTATGCTGCAGTAAATCAATTTATTAATTTTGTGAACATTTCAAATTATTTTTTTCCTTTTTCCTTTCTTTTCCCTCCCCCTCATATCTTTCCTGTCGATGTTTAAAGATGAAGAATATAAAGTCAGTAAAATTTGGGTGCGTGATGGAGTGGAGAGTGAGATTACTGGGTGATCACAAGGGTGCATCAATGGTAGCAAGCTGTCTGTCTTTTCCAAAAGTTTGCTGGAAACTTGACCTGAGATGTGATTGTCTAGTTCAGCTGTCTTGGAAAAACACACTTTCATATTCTCAACACTCCAGTAGTATCTGGCAATAGTTCTGTGCGTTATGCACCTGGAGGTACCTTGCCTGATTCTTGGTCATGTTTAACCAAAAAGCCCCACTAATCTCTTTGATTACTTTGCTACTGAAAGGAGGCTTAGAGTTGAGGAAGATGGCAGTGTTTTCTGCCAAAGAGTAATTTTATATTTTCTGTTACAGGCAGTGATTCCCTTAGAGTTTTGAGAGACTCCTTAAAACTGTTCTGTGGATAGAGCAAACCAAGGAGATGAAATAATGCTCTCTTGCCCTTTAATATAATCTAACAAGAAGCTCTCTGCAGGCAATATATTTCGTTCATATAATCAGTGCATGGAGCTGTGGAAGAATAAATTGATGTCTGATTACCTAATGCTACAGAAGGAGAACACAGAGACATGAAGAGCTTATTCTTCTAATTTACCTTGTGTTTCTGAATGAGAAACCTGCTGTACTTGTTACCAGTACGTGATAGTTCAGAACAGAGGAAAATTCTCTTGGTATGAGGACTTATTGTTACCTGCTAGTTAATTCAAAATGGGAAATTTTTAGAGGTCAATGAACTGTCAGGGAAAATATGCTTTTTAAGGGTATAATTGTGTTGACTAGTTGTTGTTTGCCATGAAATCTATGTTCAGCATTTTTTTTATTCTATTCAGTCCTATTCCAGTTTGTTTTGTTTGTTTGGCCACCCTGCTTTCCACAAAGAAGTTGTTTCCTTGTGGAAGGAAGGAATAACTTATAGAGAACATCTGAAACTCCAGGAGCTGCTGGGAAGACCCACTGTGTGAGTAAAAAAAAATCCCCACACTCTCTGTAGCCGAGCAGCTTTTTCAGTATCTAAGTGTTTGATACATCTCAAAGTTGGATTAACTTTTTTTTTGGTAATGTCCGTGGCTTTGTATTTTTGAAATGCTGTTGTAGGTGAAAGAAATACTTAGCAATTAACTTCTAAACGTTTTTAAATACTAAAATTAGAGGTCTTCTGGATATTTGTAAATTAGATTTCAAGTGGGTTTCAAGCTGGTGTGTGTTTTCAGGAGATAAACCAGCAATATTTTTCAGAACTCAAGTTCTAAACATTTTTTAAATACTAAAATTAGAGGTCTTCTGGATATTTGTAAATTAGATTTCAAGTGGGTTTCAAGCTGGTGTGTATTTTCAGGAGATAAAGCAGCAATATTTTTCAGAACTCTTAAATATTAATGGGTTAGGAGAATTCATATATCTAACTTTGGTATTTAATTTGGAATTTGTCGTAGACTTTTTATGTTAATGGGCAAATATTTTTCAGAACTCTTAAATATTAATGGGTTAGGAGAATTCATATATCTAGCTTTGGTATTTAATTTAGAATTTGTTGTAGACATATTAATGGGCAGTCTCATTCAAAAATTAGTTCAGAACAGGCACTTAGTTTATACTTAAAGTTTGGGAAGAGCCTGTCTT